TTCTTTTTTAATTCCTAGACCTAGGAAAAGAAAGAAAAGACTCCCCTAAGTTTGTTTGTTTGTTTGTTTTTGATCGCATGGGAGATTGTATGATTAAGAGCAAAAGAAAATAGAATTAGGTGACCCTGAGTGTTTCAATGACTTAACTGAATTAAAATAATTTATTCTCAAAAGTGCCATAAAAAGACCCATGATCTGTTACTTTCTCTCATTCCTGTCTTTTCCATTGAAAGATGCAGGGTTCACTTGCAAAGAAGGAATCAACGGGAAGCAAGTTTTTCAACTCCTTCATCATTTTCCAGGTAATCTCTACAACCTAGCAAAATTCTAGATCTCTTTTCTCAGGCTGCCAGTAAAGATTCTAGCCTGTTTACACACAACAGCATTCCAGTCAGTTTCTCTGATCATTATCTAAACTTGCAAAAAACGAGCTGTTATGAAAACTCCATATGGGCTGTGTGGCATTTAAAAGACTCTGTCAAATTGTTCTTTTCTTTTTCTGAATATCAAAGCAGCTCTTCATTATTATTTCTCTTTCTATAATTAACTCAGAAAATATGGGTGTAACACCCAATTTTGTAGATGGATGTGGCATCACAGAAAAATAACATACATCATATTCTGCTCCTCATAATGGAAACTGTTCCTGAGAAAGCCTTACCTACATTTCAATATTTTTGCAGAGAAGACTAGAATCTCAAATATGCAGCAATGTTCCCCAAACAATTGTAAAACCAGAATCCCACCTCTACAACATTACTGTTCAGCTAGATTAAATCTGTAGTCAAATATATGTGACCATACAAATTCAGGGTTCTATACTAACATGACACATTTGGCACATCTCAACAACTTCTTCTGAAATTCATTAACAATTCTCATTTAACTTCAACTTTTTCTTAGGACAAACTGAACACTTAAAATACATCTTGAATAACTACTGAAAAACTACTACACTAAGTTGCATATTGTTTCAATATTTGTACTTTTAGGTCAGAAAGTATTAGAAAAACCTCCACCTTCTTAGCAGTAAATCTTAACAAACCTGCTCATCTGATACTGCATTACAAAACTGCCAGAAGAAGTGTAAGAAAAATGCAAATAACATAACTTACAGCAATTTATGTAATTATCACAGTTTCTCATAATACTAACATGTTCCAATAGTGAAAAGCATGAAAACATTGGGCAGCATATAGCAACTTGAGAGTTGCACTCTACTCTTCCTGGAGCTTATCTGAATCATTTCCCCTCTTTCAATGCAAAACATAAAACTAATTGCCTGATACTTCAAGTAAGGCTTATTTTACTACACTGCAAAATAATACGTGACTTTCTGGCACGGAGTCCTAAATACCTATGTTCTAACAGCATTTGAAACCTGCTTTTGGACAGTGGAGTGCTAGAAGAAAAAACAAGCAATCACAATACTGTTTTTTTGGTTTTTTTTTTTCTATTCTGTAGCCTCAAAACGAGTCAAAATCAGTTGGGACAGATTTGGAGCATTATTGTCTCCAGGTAAAGTTTTATGCTGTAAACCAAGTTTACAGGCTCCTTATGTGAATATCCAACTGCTTTTGATCCTCCATTGCATGCATCTCACTTACTATGCATGTGCAGTGTAGATGATCAGGAAATATTCAACAAATTAGACTGGTGTGCCATAATGCACAGTGAACTCTGCAAGTAATTACAGATTCTGGATCCCAGAACAACATATGCCCAGGAGCCAAAGGCTGAGATACTGTCTAGAAGCGTGCACATCTGACTTGGAGGATTTGCTGGACATGTACCTGTACGCTGTGCAAGCACCATTCTAAAGTCAGAGCCATAAAGGAATGAGAAGAGCAGAAGACATGAATACGAAATTAGAAAATGTGAGGAAGGGTAAGCTTACAACAAAAGAGAAGTCCAGCTTCCATCAGGAACACAGTAATGAAAAATAATGGACATATAAGTGCATGGGGAATATTCTCCTCAAACTTTCCTTCTTTATAGGAGTCTTTAACATTTTCAAACTTATAACTAAAGTCACAGAGAAAGTGTCATAACTACTAAATAAGAATCAAAAATTTCTATGAGAAGGTGTCCACTAACATGATGCTGTTACACAGACATCGTGTCCTAATAGGTCATGATTTTTAGTTGTTCACTAAAAAATAAAAATAAAAAATACAAATTACGGAAAAAAACACATTATTGTAAAATATGTATTGTTTTTTGTTACATGATAGTCTAGAAACCAAGCAGCAACTTCAATACTGTGCCTTTGAAAGGATCTAGGTAGTAGGTTTTTTCAATTAATAATTCAATGTCATTTAAGTAAAAAAGGATAAATTTATTATTTACAAGTGTACTGCAAAGGTTATTACAGATTTATCCATTATGCAATCAGAATCAACTTTTTAAAACTAAATGCTTTGCTAAACTGCTTTCTCACAGCAGCTATTCACCATTACTTAGGCCTATAAAATAAGTTTTTTCTGTAGGCCTCTGTTAATTTGTACAAAGACATTTGTACAAATTTGTACAAAATGTACAAAGTCATAAACTGTTTATAAGTAAAAATGGAAAGGTGACGGTAACTCAATTTAAATAGAAGTTGTTTTTCTAGTCAATTATAAGACCAGCATATAGAAAGCAATAATAAAAATGATTATACAATAAACACATTCTGAAATAAATTTATAGAAAATATCTGCAAAATAATGCTCCTTAGAACAGTGACCAGGGTCACTGTTTCTTGTCAGTAGGTAACCAAGACAACCTACTGAGATTTTCATCTGTGCTGTGTTTGTCAAAACGAATATGAAACCATTGGCAGAACATCATCTTTTGTTTTTGTAGATTCTGTTTCTTATGCCTCTTTACTTGTACAGTGATGCCAGCTCCTTATCCAGAAAACGTGAAAACAAAGCTTTTTAAAAATATATTGTATTATTTTTTTTCTTATATTAAAATGCATATCACTCAATAAAGGTTTTCTAAAATGTAAAAAGGATTGTATCTTCTGTAGGTCAGTGGGCATATTTTATTAGAATTTTAAAGCATATATTTCTTAAAGTACTTGCTATGATCTCTGAGACCTCTGAAGAAACTGCCTTTTACCAGTTTGCTGGATTCCGTCAAATTACTAAAAGTATCACACAAAACTTAATTAAAAAAAAAAAAAAAATCAGTCTCTTACACCTATGTTTTCAATCTGATTTATAAAACCTTCTAAGAATATCAAATCTAAGACTGGGTTATCATCAATAGTATCACTGTAAAAATATGGTTAAAGTAATAAAAAAAAAAGTTTCTTCTTTCTAGGCCTTCTATCTCAGTCAATTTAAAAGATTGCTCTTTCCACTACATGTCTCAGAAGCTAAAAGGACTGGACTGACACCATACCCACACACTCCTGAAAAAATCACCACAGTCAGCTAATAAGCCATTCCTCCCCTTTCCACCTGTGAAGGCTCCTGCAGGAATGCATGCAGGACAAGGCTGAGAATGGACGTGGCTCCAAAGGTGTCAGCTAGGGGAAGGGAGATCATCTGAGTTATTTCTGCACGAAACAAAGGATGCACAGATGCTTAAATACGAATTTGCATCTTCTCTGCTGTTCCCACTGATGCACAGTTACATAAATGCAAGTACGTATCCATACGTCATAAATTCTATTCAGGTCTGGGACAGTGCAGGGGGAAAAAAAAAGAAAAAAGAAATAACAGAATCCCTGAATTGCAATCCAAATTGCAATGAAAAGCAACCACATCACAGCAGCTTGAAAGGCACAGTAAATACATGGGAAATATGTATTTGGAATATAAAAACCGAAAAAGGGCAAACGATAAAAAGAACACAAGAAAATTAACACAGGGGAAGTTCCACGTTTAATGGCGCTGTTGCTAGTTTTTTTCCACATGGAGAAAATAGTCAGATACTTATGAACTATAACCCTTATTAGACAGACACAGAATAGAATTCTAACATACACCATGCCATTTTTAAGTTATTACAAAGAATTCCAGAGTTAAACTCCCTAAATACCTTAAAGTATGTTCAAGACAAAACACAGACAAAACCAACCACCACTCAAAGTGTTGAATATCAAATCTAAGCACTAATTACAATTATTTTAGGTGATCTCAACCAAACTTGCAATTAAAAAAACAGGAAACTAAAATCAGAAGAACTTTCCTGAACTAATTTAAATGTTTTGTCTTTCATCTGCTAAATACCTCAGAGTTGGCATCCTTATCTCAGCTCTTGTGAGGCCTCATCTGGAGTACTGCGTCCATGTCAGGGGCCCCCAGCTGAAGAAGATGAACTTGGAACGAGTTCATGGATCAATGACTGCATTTTTGCTCTTGTAATAAAGTCAGCCCTCAAGAATTATAAACAACCTAATTCTTCATGAAGGAAATGATTCTTAAAACACTTAAAAACAAGTACAGTTTTTAGGACAAATTCAGTGACAGATCAGTGTTGCAGTACTAAATAGTACTGCAGGCCACCAAAATGACAAAATTTACAGAGAAGAGAATCAACAGAGCATTAAAATTGTTGAAAAGCCAGCTACTCATCCCAATAATTTGAGATTCTCTTCAGCCACTGGTGAGCAACATGAACACAAGATTCCAAAAATCAATCAAGGGCAACCTATGAACTAAGCATGTATTTTTATAAAGAAAAATATCTTATATAAAAATTATCCAAATCTGATTTATTAAATTTAAAGAGTACTACATAAAATTATTGCTAATGGAAATAACATGTAATATTTTAACAGGAGAAAAATGAAGATATGGTGGAGATCCTCTGTAGCAAATTCTATTGTCTTGACTGTCTACAGAAAAATCTGGAACAGCTTCGAGGAGCTGACTCTACTCCTAAGCTGGTACATGATAGCAGAAAACCTCTAGGAATTTGTAGTGAAGGAGGTTCATCATAGGAATGCAAATACAGACATTGAAAACAATGTATTTTATCGAAAAAGAAAGGGAAAAAATTACCTGGAACAAGTTCCATAACAATATAAATAGGTTGTCTTTGTGTGCAAACTCCTATGAGTTTTACAATATTAGGATGATCATACTGTTTGAGTATTCTGAAAAACATACAGTAAGTTTATTATATTAATAAACTTTATTGTACAAACCAATTAAACAGAAAAATATCTTACACTCTTAATATTATTTTAATAGAATTTTCAGTAGAATTACTGCTATCAATTAAAAGATCAACGTAATAGACAAATCATTCTTCTGATTGAGGGTATTTTTACTCAAAGATCAAGATCGAACACTAGTAGCTCATTCTCACTGTAGTTTTAACATTTGTCTACATAACATTTTATCGGTGAAAAGTATTCTCACAGGTTTGTAGCTTCTCAGGAACCCTTGTAATTAAACAGCATTTCAGTGGTGTATCAGAAGAGAAGCTTTGTTGAAAATGCATGCACAGCAAGCCTCTACATTTTCCTGCTGCGCTTTTCAAATGCACACTCGTTTCAGTTTTAATTCACAAGATTAATTGATACAGTAAGTTTTAAAAGAATATAAATACTGCAATTTTAATTTCTGGAATTAAGCAAAAACATTTACATCTTTTTACATGATACTTTAATAAGAACTTTGACAGCCTAAATCAGTATGCTATGATTTATAAGTGAACTGAAGGTCTAAGAAGAATTCCAGAGAGATCTTTTAACTTAAAAATGTTTCTTCTACTATTTGATAACTTAAACTACCTCATCTTTTTCCTAATTTTTCTAGAAATGAGAGTGAAACTTGGGACATGCGGATTTAATGAAAAATAACTGATTTAAGTGTTTTTTTTCATATAATATTCCATACAATACTGTTCCATTAGTGGCTGACTGCTAAGCAAATGAAAAAATCTCTGTGGTTGCCAAGTTATGAGTTGTTTAAAAACACTCAGCAGATACAGCATACATATATTGATTATATTAGCTTGGGGCTTCACAGCCAGAACAGCTAATTAGTTTAAATAATTATGAGATTATCTCAATAGATCCTTCTATCCTGAGCCTGAGTTCTTAGAAACTATCTATGCAGATAGCTACACAATCTGTCTGTATTCAGAATATTTAGTGTGCTATGACATGAACGCCACTTACTGCCCAATACAGCAGTTGGACTGAAAGAGGAAGTTACTAAATCTGTACCATAATCTCATTTAAATTAGTATCTTCCAGGCTTCTTACTGTAATCCTTGCGGCATGTATCAAAGAAATTCTAAATGGATGCATTTACAATATCGAAAGTATGGATTATAGGCACTGCTTGTCAAGGTGGTCTCAACAAGTGGAGGTACTTGCTGTTCATACACATTAAAAACGTGTATGTACAGTTATCAGGGCAACAGTTAGTGCAAGTACTGAGGGAGAATAAAAAGGAAGAAGTCTGGCTATTAATTCTTTGAATTCTTACAAAGTTCCCATTTTGTAAAGCTACAAAGTAAGAAAACTTGGGGGAAAAAACAAACTTAGAGCACCTACCTGGCCTCTGACAGAAATTTGATTTTCAATTCCTGAGGAAGATCTTCTTTACAAGTTTTTACAGCAACGGGTGTCTTATCCTTTAATGTTCCCTTATACACCTCACCAAAATTACCCTAAAATAAGAAAAAAAGTAATCCTAAATAACCCAGTCATTGCAAATATTCATGAATAAACTAGAAACAGCTAAATAACTGTTAAAGAACTATAAATTGTGTTTATGAAGTTTTCTTCAAGTACATGATCCTAGTACAATCAGTCCACACAGAGAAAATAAACCTATTATATGAATATGTCATATGAGTTCAATTTGGCTTGTGAGAAAAATACATTGCATAATTACAATTTTCTTTTTAATACACTTAATAATTTAAGTCCTAACCTCTTTCATTTTCTAACTACTGTATTTTTTCAATAGTTTTCAATTTACAGTCCAGTGTAACCTACACAACCCACTGCAAGTTACTTTTATTTTAGTTTGCTTGGAAAAATACCTGAGATAGACATCTCCATCAGATGTGTTTTCAACTTTAAAAAAAAAAAAATAGCACAAAAGTTTAAGAGGAAATTACGTTATTTCAGAAATCTATTATTGAGTAAAATATGTAAAATGGGGAGGAAAGGAAAAAAGAGATCTCAAGATCTCACACTTCTAGTTAAGCTTTGTTTTTCCCCCAAACAGTAATTACAACATTTTAAATATATGTCTGATATACTTCCACGTGAATTTCTTCCCCGTGTTCTGGTACACAAAACTGTCAATGATTTCAACAAACAGAAAAACATGCTGGCAGTTTTTCCTTCCTTTTCTCAGCGATAAAGATTTCTTTACACAACATATGTGAAGACTCTATTGCCAAGATAAGAGAAACAGGAAAAAAAAAATAATGAGGAGCGTCATAGAATCACACAAAGGTTGGAAAAGACCTTCAAGCTTATCCAGTCCAACTGTAAAGATACCACCAGTATTTCCCACTAAGTCATGTCCCTCACACAACATCTAAACACTGCATAAAAACCTCCAGGGACAGTGACCCCACCACCTCTCTGGGCAGCTTCCAGTGCCTGACCATTCTTTCAGAGAAGAAATTTTTCCTGATATTCCACCTGAATCTTCCTTGTCACAGCTTGGTGCCATTCCCTCTAGCCCTATCACTAGTTACATGGGAGAAGAGGCCGACCTCACCACAACCTCCCTTCAGGTGACTGTAGAGAGCAATAAGGTCTTCCCTGAGCCTCCTCCAGACTGAACAATCGCAGCTTTCTCAGCCAATTCTTCTAAGATTTGTGCTCCAGACCCCTCACCAGCTTTGTTGCCCTTCTGTGAATGCACTTAAGGGCCTCAATGGCTTTCCTGTAGTGAGGGTCCCAAAACTGAACACAGTATTCAAGGTGTGACCTCACCAGAGCTGAGTACAGAAGGATAATTCCCTGCTCCTGCTGGCAACACTATTTCTGATATAAGACAGGATGCCATTGGCCTTCTTGGCCACCTAGGCACACCGCTGGCTCATGTTTAGTTGAGTGTTGACCAACACCCTTAGGTCCATTTCTTCCACACAGTCTCCCAGCCACTCTGCCCCAAGCCTGTAGGGTTGCCTGGGATTGTTGTGGTCAGTGTGCAGCACTTGGTTTTGTTGAACTTCATCCCACTTGCCTGTATGGATCCCTATGAAGGATCTATACAGACCTACCCTGAGGCAGGTCAACACATCCTTCCAACTTCATCTGAATTCTTACTGAAAGTGCACTCAATCCCCTCATCCAGGTCATCAATAAAGATATTAAACAGGACACACCACTAACGACTGGTCGCCAGCTGGATTTAATGCCATTCACCACCACCCTCCAGCCAGTTCTTTATCCAGCAAAGAGTGTACCTGCCCAAGCCATGGTCTGCCATCTTTCCCAGGAGAATACTGTGAGCACTCCAGTCATGAGAGCAATCCCACCCTATTTTAGTAATGGCAACCAAGTCAAAGTTTGCCTGATACACAATGGCTTCCAGCTTCTTCTTTCGATTGCCCGTGCTGCATGCATTGGTGTAGAGACACTTCAGCTGAGCCATTTGCCCAACCCCATCAACATTCCCCTAGGCTCTCTAGGGGAATGTTGATGTAGAATCTCTAGTGAGCCTTCTTTAGGGTAGTTTGTTTACATTGTGGTTGGACATAGTGATCTTTAACATCTCTTCCAACCTAAGCAATTCTGATTCTATGATTCTTTCAGCCCCTTTCATCTTCATATCTAGTTTAAAGCCCTCTTAATGAGTCCTGCCAGCTCTTGACTTAGGATCCCATTTTGCGACAGGTAAGACCTATCTGCAGTCATCAGGCCATGCACTGAGTAAACATCCCCATGGTCAAAAAAAAGCCAAAATTCCTGCAGTTGCACTAGCCTCTTAGCCATGTATTTATGAGATGGGTTTTCCTGCTCCTCTTCATATCCATTGGTGCCACTGAAGCAACAGAAGCTACCTGAACTCCTACTCCCTCAACTAACCACCTCAATGCTCTTAAGTCCCTTTTGATAGTCCCCAGGGTTCTCTCAGCAATGTCACTGCAGCCAGCCTGAACTATCAGTAGGTGATAACAACCAGACAGGGGACACCCTTAGTAACATCCTTGACCTGGGCCTTAGGGAGGCAGAACATTTCCCTACTGGTAGGGCTTTGCTGACATTATGAGGCATTCTGTTCCTCCCAGAAGGAAGGAGCCTACAACAGTTACCCTTTTTTCCTTCTCAGAGGAGGCACTCATGAAGTGTAGAGTCAACCTTCTCACTCTAGAAAACCTCTTGGATGGACTTTCCACCTCATCCTTACTTACCTCTGCCTGGAGTTCCAGAGCTTCAAACCTATTACACAGAGCACCTGGGGAATCAACGAAGGCAGGAACCGGGTCTGCCAGTAACAGTAAAATGGGACCTGTTTCCACTCCTCATCTCTTATATCTCCTCCCTCTGCTCAATAATGGTGGGGCAGGGAGTCCACCACTGTCTGGTGCCTTTCTCTCAAGTGTTGTAGTTACTCCACCAGTCTATTAGAAGAAACTCATAGATTGAACCTACTATCGCAGTAGCAATGCCAACGGAAGAAATTCAGGTGTCTAAACACAAGACAAGTATTATTTCACACACCCTAAGATGTCTAAGAAACAGCTGGCAAGCATGTCAGCTCACAATCTATGATGCTTCAGAAACAGCACTTTTAGAGGACCTCTGTTATCTAGAAAGGCACTGTGTGACTCCTAACATGCTATTCCTCTACTTTTCTGTTTAAGAGTATTTAACATTGAAAACTAAATACTATTAAACTATTTTAAATGCTTTTAATTCTTTTTAAAAATATTTATCACTTTATATAAGATTTATAATATAAATAATATATAATATAGTATTACATACACTACATACTTGTATATTTCATTTTGTGTGTATTATATAATTAATACTGTGCAAATAAATGGACTATTCACTGCTGAAGGGAAACAAAATTTTCTACTTTCAGAGAATCACAGAATTATAGAATCACATGTGTTGGAAGGGGCCTCAAGAGAACACTGAGTCCAAAGCAGATATCCTACCATAGGTCACACAAATAGACATCCAGACAGGTCTTGAATATCTCCTTAAAGGAGGCTCCACAACCTCTCTGGCCAACCTGCAACCACTGCTCTACTGCCCTTACTGTAAAGTTGTTCTTCCATATGTTAGTATGGAACTTTTTATGCACAAGTTTTAGGCCACTACTCCTTGTCCTATCACTACAAACCACAAAAAGAACCTGGCCTCATCCATAAGCCTCCCACCTCCCTTTAGATATTCATAAACATTTATCAGATCCTCTCCATCTTCTTTTCCCCAGGCTGAACAGACCAAAGGTTACTCAAGTCTTTCCTCATACAGGAGATGTTTCAGGCCCTTTATCATCTTTGCGGTCCTCCTTTCTGGTCCTCTACTGGAATCCTTCTAGGAGATCCCTCTTTTTTGAACTGGGGATCCCAGAATTAGATACAGTAGTCTAAATGTGGCCTCATTAGGGCAGAATAAAGAGTATGGCACACTGCCATAAAGAGTAAGAGCACACTGCTGGCTCATGGACAACCTGCTGTTCACCAGGACATCCAGGTCCTTCTCTGCAGAGCTCATCTCTAGGAGGTCATCCCCTAACCTGTACTGATGTATGTGGTTATTCCTTCCCAGATGAAAGTCTCTATCCTTGCTCTTGTTAGGATGCTCATCAGGTTCCTCCCTGACCAACTCTCCAGTCTGCCCAGGTCTCCATGAATGGCAGCACAGCCTTTCAGTGTGCCAGCCACTCCTTCCCAGCTTTGTATCACTGGGAATCTTGCTGTGGACTCTATCCCTTCACCCAGGTCATTCATGAAAGTGTTGAACAAGACCAGATCCAACACCTATTCTTGGGGAACACTGTTACTTCCAGACCTCCAACCACACTCTGCGCGACTGATGGCACCCCTCTGAGCTCTGCCAGTCAGCCAGTTGTCAGCCTCACTGTCCACTCATGTATCCCATGCTAAGTTTCATAACAAGGACGTTGTGGTAGATGGTGTTAAACACCTTGAGGAAGTCAAGGTAGACAATATTCACTGCTCTCCTCCATCTACCCAGCCTGTGATGACATCACAGAAAACTACAAGGTTGATGAAGCATGATTTTCCTTTGGTGAATCCTTCTGACTACTCCTGATAACCTTCTTCTCTTCCAGGTGCTTGGAGCTGGCATCCAGAACAAAGTGTTCCATCACCTTTCCAGGGATGGAGTTGAGGTTGACTGGCCTGTAGTTGCTCAGATCATCCTTGTTGCCCTTTTTGACAGAATCACTTTGCTAAGTCTTCATCAGTGTTCCATGATTTTCCCAGCCATTGTTTCCAGTAGACTCAGATTTTTCACTTAAAGGATCAACAGCTGCAGTTTATTTAATATTTTAATGATCTTCTCACCCTAATATTTTCTAGTTTGATTATATCATTCCAGAAATGAATACACTACAGATTTATATAGTTTCCCAAGAAAGCTGTTTATCTGTTTTAAAAGTTTAAAGCTGCATATCCTAATAAATCAGCTTTAAGACTGCACTGTGTTTATCAACTTATTAAAATGTTTTGTAAAAAAAAAAAGGAGTACATTTGTAAACTTTTTTAGAAATCAATGTTCAGACTATTTCAACTGTCTTAATAGGTGCAGAAGTGCTGAAAATTTAAGTCAGGTATTACATTTCAGTAGAAGCAGTTGTAAGAATTGCAGCTGCTATGCAGAATTTGTGCTATAAACTGTTTCATTTGAAACTTTATACACAGTCAAGGCTTGTTCCAAAAATAATGTCTCCTATTTATTATGATGGCCCATGACGTAAGAGGTGACATTGGTGGCATGGCAGTAGAAGATGAACATTCCCACCAATATCCCATGGGCAGTCCAAGAAAATGGCATATAATATAGAAGTGCTTATGAAATAAAGATGTGTCACTGAATTCTTCCGTGTGGAAAAATTGGCATCCATTGACATTTGTTTATGACTGCTGAATGTTTATGTTGATAAACAGTGCATGAGAGCACAGTGAGACACTGGGTGGTGCGTTTCAGCAATAGGGTCACCTCCACTGGTGCAGACTGTTATGAGCAGAATATGCAGGTTCCTGTTCATTGTTGGTGAGAATGCATAGCTAATGGTGATGACTACCTTGAAAAATACTGTTTTAAAGCAAATTCCTAGCTACATCAAATGAAGTTATTATGCTCTTTGTGTCAGTTGTAGTTTTCAAGGAAATAGGAGGCAATACTTGTGGAGTGACTTACTACTGAGAGATTACCTAAAATTACAATAAATCATACAGTAACAATGAATATTTGGTTTAATGAATATTGCCTACATTATCATCTTATTTCAATTTTTTTTTTTTACTTACATGCCTTTCATATTTTTAAGCAATATTCTTTTTTTTTTTTTTTGCAAGACTGCACAGTTTAAACTGTAATACAATGCTTTGCAGACACATAATTAACTTAAAATCCCTACAAATAAGAAAAATATGTATGCTAAATATTTTCAGCAGACACATCATACGATTCACCATCATATGCAATAAGCATTTATGTAAAGCACAATACTACCTCATGTATTAAAGCAAAATAATTGGTATAAAAATCACAGTAATTTGAAGGATAAAGAAATAGGAAATACACTTAATGACTAATACATATTTATTTGCATGTTGATAGCTCACTTGATTACTTACTTTGCCCAGTAATTCTCCCAGTGTGACATCCTCATGATTGAGAACCCATTTCTTATCCTATGGTAAGAAAAGGAAGGAAGAATGTTCAATAGTACCAAAAACATACTTTCTGTTACATATACTTCACCAAGTTGAAATGTATCTAAAGAAATGTTTTGTACAGACTGCTCTGTCAAAAGCACACCAGGAAGTTGAAAACAAGTTTCAGATAACATGCTTTTCAAAGAAATGCTAAGATGTACTGTATAGCCTGTTAAATACATCAATTAAGTAGACAGTACGTGTGCTAATAAACAGAACACATGCACTTTCTCATGCAAGCTCTGGAAACAGTATCTAATGCCCTGTTTTTAAAAATGACATGTGTCAAAACCACTTAAGAACCTTCATTTTAGAATATGAAATAACTTACTGCAGGGTCAAAAAAAAACCAAACCCAAATCAACATTTATTTTCTGAATACAAATATATACTCATTTTTCTGCTTATTAACAGGGTATATATGGCATATCTTAAATCTCAGGTCTTAATCTTCTTTGATAGTTTGATACATAGCAGCCAAATATCTGAAAAGACAACATAAACATAAATCATTGGATCTATGCAGTGCTGATGACTAACAACTTTATTTCTTTATTAGCACCTCATCTGCTTATCACCTCACAAACACCATTAATACTAATTATATTAATGGTAAGATTCTATGCATTTTTTGTTAATAATAACTCATTAAAGCTCACAGAAGACCAAATCAACCGTGCTGGCTTTGCTGATTGACTTCTTAGTGGAATCTTAACAGACCAATCTCCTGGTGCAAAACGGGAGGTTACTCACATGTGCAAATAAATACTTGATGGCAGGGGAGGAATAAGAGGGAGCCAGGCTCCTCAGCAGCTCCCAGTGATGGGATAGGTGGCAATGGGCACAAATGAGAAAACGTGATATATATTCTAAACATGAGAAAGTGTTTTTCTCATGTAAGTGATGAAACACTGTAACAGGATGCCCAGAAAGATTCTGAGCCTTTATCTGCAGAGACATTCAATATTAAACTGGACCCACTCTAGCTGACAGTTCCTATGTGGGGGGAGGGCTGTACTGAATGATCTCAACTCTCTTCTAATCTAGATAAGCCTGTGAGAAATGGATGTAATTAAACCTTAACACAGGGAATTCACTCTCTTCTTATAGAAACAACATGTCTGTAACTAACATGCTAGGTCAAGCATGCTAGTTATCAGCATAGAACCAGGTATTTAGTACATTATATTTTCTGCCAAACACTGCATCCTAACTGAAGGCAATGCAACAGTCATAACTAACTTTAACATATTTCCAAATTTAAAAAGAAATACTGAATGTATACTTATTTGCCACTAAATTAATCAGTAAGACACATCCCAACATAGGAAGTACTGATTTCCTAGAAAGAAAGCCATTAAAAAAACATACATACAACCCCTATGGCTGAATCCTAGGTAACAAGTACAGAACACTGCACAGTCTGTGTACAGAGATTTCTGAACAACATTTCTGTAGAACAAATCTTAAGATTATCTTACAAGAAGCTGAACAGTTTTAAGAGTATTTCGTTCATCTTCTCGATTTGATTTTGTTAAAAATTAAAAATGCTTTGTTCACTAAAATCTGTAAAATTTGTCAGGTATTTTTTGCTGATTGGATGCCTCACTCAGAAGCTGTTATATTTTGAACAGCTGGAAAAGGCCATCAAAGTGCATTTGCCTTCACCAGTAAAGCTCAAATTTAAGATAACAATTGGGAAATAAAGCTCTAAAGAAAATAAGTGTACAAATAGCTCCTTGATGTACTAACACAAAACTTTTAAACTTTGAAATAAATACTGCAAAAGCCAGTAAGTTACAAAGTCAAATACTATTGTCTTTTTAACCTCTTAATTCTCAATGTTCTATATTTCAGTGAATGACTTTTGGAAAACTGACAATGTGGCATTTCAAACACTTCTTTATAAAGCAAAAATCCAGTGCATAATCCTTCAGAGAAATAATTAAATAAAAAGGCACCATAAGCTGTAATCAACTGATCTGGGAAAAGAGTTGTTATTATAGTAGCATATTAATCACTACCTACATCTTTCTTCTAGGAAAACCTTCTGTTTTTTATTATATCAGCATGAGCTATTAATTACACTGAGTATCTTCACTGAGTATCTTGCTTCTGCCTTTTTTTTTTTTAATTCAAAGTTTGATCAGCTTTGTTACTAAAGCTCCTACTGTTGGCTTCAAAAAAATTATTCGTGAGCATATGCAAACAGTAGTGCCTTGTTAGTCTGTTTCAGAGGTAAATTATAAATATAAATTCATTATAAAGGAATATTCACATGAATGATAAGTAAATTTCCTAATTATTAGAGTTTTTTGTGATCAGAAATCTTTAGTTACTTTTGTAGATACACAGACTCTGTCTTAAGATAGAGACTAATTGCATAAGCCATTCCTGTGCCTACATGACTGAAAAGGTGGCAGGTACAGCTGCAGCAGACACTCAGACAATCCCTTCTCATTCTAATTGATATCTCTTCAGAACTGTTCTTTTACTACTCATTGGGCACCATCTGGACCAACCTGAAAAACAGACAGCTAAACAAAACGATACAGCCCTTGGTACATCACGCTTCTTCAGACTGCAGTCGTTCACTTTCTTTTTTAACTTCTGTGTATATGTAATAGATTCTGACACCAATAATGCTTTCCACATGATCCAGGAGAAATTAGCAAAAGACACATATTGTAAAACAATTAACAGACCAGAACCTGTAACCCAGAACTTCTAAGTCAACTCCCCTCATCTGTTAAGTTTTCCTGTTATGTTCCTGTCTCCTGGTCTCTGCTCTCTCTTGGGTTCAGTGAAAACTTAAAGGAGCAGAAAAGCACCTCCAAAGAATATGAAGAGAGAAATTTTTCCACTAGGAAGTATTAAAACACAAATATTAAACCCCTTAATACAATTTTCACCTTGTGAATGTTAATATTGAGCTTCTGAGTGAAAAGATGGCAGTCATAGAATCATAGGATGGTTTGGGTTGAAAAAAACCTCCAAGATCATTTAGTTCCAACCCCCTTACCATGAGCAGGGTTGCCACCCAATGGATCAGGCTGCCTGGGGCCCCCATTCAATCTGGCCTTGAACACCTTCAGGGATGGGGCATCTGCAGCTCTGGGCAGTTGTGCCAGTGCCTCACCACCATCTGGGTAAAGGATTTCTTTAATATCTAACCTAAATCTCCTCTCTTTTAAAGCCATTCCTTCTTGCCCTGCCACTATCAGATCGTGTAAAAAGTCAGTCTCCTTACTGTTCCCTTCAAGTCCTGAAATACCACAATAATGTCTCCCCAAAGCCTTCCCTTTCCAGCCCAAGCAACGCCAGCTCACTCAGCCTTTCTTCCTTATAGGAGAGGTGCTACTCTTCCAGATCCACTCCAACAGCTCCACATCTTTCTTGTGCTGGGGTCCCTCAACTGTTGTCATCAAGTTCACCTATGAATGCAAGTCTGAAACTGTAGATGGCCCCTCTGTATCTACACTTGTCAAGTTGAAGAAAATGTTCTGTAGTATTAAAAAAATAAGTTGGAGCTTAAAATTTTATCTACTCTTTCAGCACCTGCAAAATGATTTAAGTCGTTTGTTCTACCAACCTGCACCCAGGCAGTTTCTTCAGCGCAGACAGATGGAAAGAAACTAAGAGATAAGAGAGACATCTATATCATGCCAACGTATAAATCTGGCATTAGAAAATTTTAAAAAATAATTTCATTTGCAACAAGGTAAATATTCAATTAAGCACTGTTTTGAAATAGTGTCATTGATTAAAATAATTATCTTTAAACTCATAAACAGAACTGCAAGGCAGACAGCCACAAGGACTGCACTGTTTCTACTGCAGGTATACTATCTCACTAATTCTGCTCAAATTGTGCTGAATTAAATATGGCATTGTCCTGTACTTCTGGACAGCTGTCAATAATTACAAATGAATCATGTGTGCAAAAAAAAAAAAAAAAAAAACCGAGTGATATAAAATAAAATGGTAGCACAGCAGGAAATAAAAGATAAACTTTAATGTAGGTACGGATGAATCGTTATTAAAGACTACCAGTTTGAGTCATAAAAAATCTAATTTCAATAGAGTTGTTTCTAAATCAAAGAGAGCAAATTAATTAGGTTTTCATACCTAACCATACGCTACTCTGAATGAGAAAGAAGATCAGAACAAACGAGACTATTATTGCCATTACTATTTCCAGCTATCCTGGCTCCAGCTGGGATAGGGTTAATTTTCTTCCTAGCAGTTGGTATGATGCTGTGTTCTGAATTCAGGATGAGAAAAATGTTGATAACACATTGACAGTTCAGTTTTTTGCAGAGCAGTACCTGCACAGAGCCAAGGATTTTTCAGCTTTTCACACTGTCCTGACTGTGAAGGGGCTGGGAAGCACGAGAAGTTGTGAAGGGACAGAACAGGGATAGAGAACCTAAACTGGTCAAAAGGATATTCCATATCATATGACATCACGCAGAATTATAAAACTGGGGGCAGTTGGCTGGAAGAGGCTGTTGTCTTAAAGACTGTCTGGGTATCAGTCAGTCCATGATGGTGAGGAATTGCATTGCATTATGCATCACTTGCTTTGTGTATTCTTTTTCCTTTTTCATCCCAAGCTCCCATTACCTACTTTTCTTTCCTATTAAGTTGTCATTACTCTTCTTTCCCCTAATTCTCTTGCACCTTCCACAGAGGATGGAATGATCAAATGGCTCTGTTCTACTACACTGCTTGCTGGGTTAAACCACAAAACCTGCAAAAGGAGCTTATTATGATGTAAACTTCTTGCAAATCAACCATAAATCACACTTTACCTAGTGCTTATTTTTGTTTTTAACTGCTAATTTTGGACTGGAGAATTTGAAAGAAATTCAGACAAATCTATTAGAAAAATTAGTGCTTGGACACACGTGCTTGGTATCTTAACGATGTACCTTATTTCCAAATAGGGTTGTTTAAGAAACACAGAAACTTTA